ATACCATAGCGACGTTTTATAGTTTGTCGATATATTAGAAAAAACATCGATTTATTTATTTATATTTATCTAGTCGACTAGTTCAGAATAAGAATCAGTCTATTTCGATGTTTTTACTGATCAATTTTTTTTCAAAACATAACAAATCATGAAATAGACATGATAGAAAAATGTAAGGAGACCATCGAACCGCAAGGTTACATCTATTTACATTCTTATTCAAATAAGCGACGAGGTCGGAAGCACAAATGATAGAATACCTTGAATTTATATTCGAATTTTAATGCATATTAGAATCAAATTTTTTCTGATCAACAGAATATTTGCATGCTAGTGTCAATTGGTTATTAACTATTAATAATTGATTAGGAATAAGAAGAGAGAGAGGGAGAGAAAAAAGAAACTAGTTGTCACACATACATAAAGATAGGTATTCTTGACTTTACTATAAACGTAAATTTTTCAGAAATCGTACGATAGTTTTGCTAAAAACACTACCAATTAATTGCATGATAAGAACTTTTATTTTTGAAGAACAAAGTACTTGACAGGATAGTTCGAAGTAAAAAAAAAGAACAGAATTGTTTTTTAATTTTATTTTAACCTTAAAGCAAGTCATTTTTTTGTTATTGTTATTCATTTTTCTCTTTCTTTTACAGAGAGTAGTCGATTTTTTTTTCATGATATTTTTTTTAATTTTATAGATTCAGTATATGATTTAAAACAAATAGACATATGTGAAGAGAAGTGTTGTTTGATTATGATGGTAGAGTCATAGGAAAAAAATCAATTATGAAAAGAAAAGAAAAAAGGAAGAGACAAAAGCAATCAGAGAATTGAAAATAGAAACTATTTTACATTTTTTTCTATGCTGAAATAAGGTCGACTCAATAGATTGTTGGGCTTCACTTTCAAATTGTAATAAATTAGTAGGAGTAAAAAATTTAGCAGATTATATTATTTTTTTTTCTTCTTGTTATCAGTTTCTAATCAGATGACGTTATTATATAGTCAAGAACTACCGTTATAGGACATAAACACTTTTTTCCCCGAGTATATGACATACTCGATGAGTCAGAACATAAAATACTCTTGTAAACTATACGATACATTCGTATTTCGTCAATGAATGAATTATAAACTACCTAGATTATAAAGTGTTTTTGACTACATTACCTTAATTGTTTTGCGCAAACAAATTGTCATGCAAAAATATCGTTGATGTTGTAAGTTTTTTTTTGAGAGGATAAAAGCTGTTAGTTTACTGATTAAGTATATACATTGTTTGTCGATAGAAAACAACATATGGGGTTGCTTTGCTCGTTTTTTTTAAACTTGTAAAACGAAGAAAAATAACATACTCAAAACATTTTTAAAATTTTTACTTTTACAATTTTATTATAAAAATATGGTCGATCTTTTATTCAGATCTTCTATGAACGTCTTATCTCAACCACTACCTCTTCCATCAAGCCGTCGACGTCGTGGTTTAATTACTCCTCGTTCACCAACATTTGTTGATGCTGCACCAGTAGCTGTTAGTAACAAAATTAGAGCAATTCAAGCACGTAAAAGTCGGCTGACTCTCGTTTCTCCTGATGCTGTTTATACGGATATACGCCAATTAAATTTTGGATATAATAATGGTGTTTCACAATCTAGAACAGAGCTTCCTATTTTAACTCCTGAAAGATTAGTTGATCGTAGTAGAGATATACGTTATGATCGTATTTCTGCTCGTCGATCTTCTCGTCCAACTGTTATAGTGAATACAAATAACAATCAACAATCAATATTTTGGTCTAATTATCAACCATTAAATAAATCTACTAAACAACCTCAAACGCAATCAAATTCAATAGCATATACACCACCTGGCCTTGGATCAGCTAAAAATAAATCACCAATTCGTAAAATATCTGATCTTCCTCGACGACAGATTCGTCAACTATCAGTTGAACAACATACTTCTCTAATACGAACTGAAACTAAAGAAAAATCGAGTTTAAAACCACAACCTTTACTAAGTTCAAGAATTCAATCTCGTGATAGGATACTTAATAATAATAATAATAATAATCATCATAATCTTCAAACACCTGAAACTCTAGATGATCAAGAACATATGATAATGGATGCAGAATTTGAAGAATATCTCGAAAAAGCGATTATTAAATGTGCTGATTGGCTAATTAAATATGTTTTTATTTGAAAAAGATTTATTGAAAATGAACAAATTCTATATATTTTTTTTTCTTTATGTATATAAGCATCGATATTGATGCATATGCAATATGTAAAATAAAAGGAAATATTTTTGTTAACATTTCCTTTTCTCTTTATTAGTAGTTAATGATGTAACATGAAATCATTTTTCATGGATCAATGTCAAAAAGTCTTTTTTACGATTATATTTGGTAAAAAAGAAACAAAAATAAAATTGTACCTTAACAGTCAGAGAATTCTTATCTTATTCTTCCACCCTATAATAGTGCATTATGTATCATTAAAAAACTTTGATCTTTTCTATGGACTCTCCATATGATAGTAGTACAAGTTATGGCTACTGATGCACCTTGAGAACGAATTGTTGATATTCCAAAAGTATAAGACAGTCAATGACAGTCTGAGTCAATGAGTATATAGATAAAAACCATTGATATTAAGGTATCATACTTGCGGTTTGATGATTAGTAAGTAAATAAAGACTTATATTTGATTTTATATTTTCAAATGGAAAAATGATTTCTGAACAAATAGAATTAAGTGATTGGAAAACAAAAAAAATCAAAATAATTTGTATGAAGAAAATAGAAAAAAGAAACATAAAAATTATTTTATGGGTTTATAAAAATTCTCGATTATTCAACATGTGTAATGCGTCATTTTGACTTCTGTATGTCTTGTGTGAAAGTATAATCGATGTAACTCCACGATCTTTATTTTTCTCGTTATTATCAAAAACAATTCAATTAATTGTTCTAATGAAAATTAAATGCATTCTTTTTTTATTTAAAAAGAAAATAGAAAAAAAAGAAGTCATACAAAAAGAAAAACCAAATGTTATTTGAGTGATGGTAATTTATAATTTGGAAACAGTTTTGAAGAACAAACACCAAAACAATCCATCATAGGTCGATTAACTTCAGAAAAATGTCCACCGGTAAGACGTTCGAGAAATTTATAATAAGCTGGTCGCATTGCTTGTGGTTCAATAATTGCGGCATGAAAAACAAGTGCAGTTGATAAAGCATATAATACTGAATCAAACCATGGAATAATTGGTACTTTTTTATCAGCAGCGTATTTAAAATAAATACTCTAATAAATAAATAAAAATAATAAGAAAACGAGATGTCACATTTTTTTTAAAACTAACTTCAATTAATTTCGCCATCATATACATGGCTAAAGTTGAACTTTTATAAAATATCATTGAAAATCCTGCTAAATAACCAGCCAGAAGACCATGTTCAGGTCGATCATATTTTAAAATATTACGTAATAAACAACTGATTAACTAGAATAAAAATAGGAATGATAAAACTAATGAATTATAATGAAATAAAACATACTCGATAGATAGCTGAATAAAAACCAAAAAATTTTCCTAAATTAAATACATTTCTATTTAATGTATAAAAAAATAATGTCGGATGTCGTAAAAATCGTAGTGGAGAACTTGTAAAATGCAAAATTAATTGTATGAAAACACCAACTGAAAAACGTTTCAGAAAACCCTGGAATAAGAAAAATTTTCTCTTCATTTAAATGAATAAATATTTTTGTATACCAGAAGTATATGGATAAGACAATGATATTTATGTTTACATATTGGATGATTTTTATTTTGAATTTTAGGCCATTGTTTAATATATTTTAAATATTTATAAACTACTGCAAAATATACTGATTTTCGTTTTGGTTTGGCAGGTTCTTCGATTTTTAATGAAGGTGCACATTCTTCGTTACCAATGAGTAATCTAAAAAGCAAACATATATTTTCCACGAAGATTATAAGATGTATAGTCATTGTTCTCTTTTTCATAAGATTTATCGTTTTATGACCAGTGTCTGAGTGAAAAAAAACGGAAGAAGATAAATACTGTCATAGCAAATATAGACGTAAGCAATTTCCACGAGAGATTTTTTGGATATTTCCTAGCGGATATTTTAAATAATAAAGGTAAAGTCACATTTCAATGTATAGCTTGTTGTTATAGTTTTAAGAAAGTTCTGTTTTGAAATATAAGATATAACGAAAAGTTTCGCTCGAATTGTTAAATCAAAGCACATATAAATAGTCAGTGATTTATCTAGCGTGAGGGCAGGGATCGCGGCGCCCTCCTAGAGAACGATTTTGTCGTCTCAAAAATTGCAATTTTGTGTTTATACTAAGTATTTGATCTACAGCAATTAGGTTTTTGCCCTCTCGGAAATCGCTATTGCACTCTCGAAAGGAAAAATCTAGCTAAAACGATGTACGTAGTTCTGTGTAGGTACTTTTCATCTGTTCTGGTTTTTCTTAAGTAAAAAGTAGGATAAAATAAACTTTCGAACAGATAACTACATTAAAATTAGTTAAAAATCTCAAGATATCATATATATTCAAAACTATTTATAAAGGGGGTGGTCGAAAAATCATGACTTTTTACTCGCTCGAGAAATGTCATAATACAAAAGTCCTTATCACCCAGATCACGAATCTGACATCCGTTTGTCAAGATCTGATTCCTTTCTTGCCGTGTTTGTCGTAGTGGGGTACCTGAGTCTCAGTAGGGTAGTTCCGTGAGATTTCAAACACAAACAAATAAGTATTCAGAAAATTTTCTTTTCCCTCAAACCTTGTAGAGCTTTTTTGGCTGATCATTTTCGTATAAGAAAGTTTTGAATTCTATTGCGAAATGACGACGCTATCGTCAAAATAAAAAAAACATAGTAAAATACGGTAAAATAGTTTAAATCCCATTTATCCTTATAAAATATTGCAAATTGTTGAAAAAAAAAGGATCAGATCTATACAAACGGATGTCAGATTCGTGATCTGGGTAACAAGGACTTTCGTATTATGATATTTCTAGAGCGAGGAAAAAGTCGTGATTTTCGACCACCCCCTTTGTTAGTTTTTCTACATACTTGACAATCGAAAATAATAAACTGTTATGTTTATGTTCTGATGTAGTTCTAGATAAAAAGATATTTAATTATTATTAATCTATATTTTAATCTCACCTACTTTAGCATATATGTATAAATTGCTGAAGAAATAGAAAACAGAAGTATCTAGAATATAAATATACTTTTGATAAAAAAAATTGATCTTTGAATAACTATACTTCTCCATTAGGAATTGGTGTGATTATTCTTCGTTGAACGGCCATTTTAAATAAAACTTCTGCTGCCTATTTATATACGTATAGACATATCTTATAGGAAATAAATGAAAAATAAAACTTACTAAATTAGCCATATAAAGAGCTAAAGCACCGCGTCTATTAAAAATTGAATGTTTATATTTTAGTTTTTTTTTGGAAATAATTTACCGTTGTTTACGTTCGATCGAAATAGTAAGAAGAGTACAACATAAACTTTGAAAATACATTCCATAATAATTTATACCACCAAGTATTCGTCTAGATAAATAGAAAAGATTATTAATTAACTAATTAATTATCTTCTCTACCGTCCAGCACAATATGCAGGCATAACAATAAGTCCATGTGTACCAAGAAAAGCTGTTGATTGAAGTATATCATTAACTAATCCAAATAAAAATTTACGAAAATCTTTTAATGTTCTAATTTTTCTTAATTTTATTAATCCTGTAACCTAATTAAATAAATGAAGTTTTCCTTAAGAAAATTCCAAAAATAATTATTTCTCACTCCATATAAAACACAATAAATTTTGAATGATTCTCTAAAACATGGTTTTGTAAGCATCCATGCAGCTGGAATGCAATTCTTATGCCATGGATGCAGTACTTGATTACACTCATATGGCAATGATGAACGTAGTTGCAAAGACATTATCTGAAAATGTGTTAGAACAAATTTTAAGATTTATAACTATTTGTTCATATGATATTTAAATTGCGAATTTTGATTTATATAGTGAGTTTTTATATTTAGAAATTGTTTGCTATTCTGAAAGTAATGCGTATAATTCAAACACGAGATATAAGATAATAATTTTCGGATCTTGATGTTCTAAAATTAGTTTTCGTTTTATTGGTTGATATTTGATCAACCGAAAAAGGTTTCTATGAACAACATTTAGTTCAACGGTTTCTATGGATTAAAAAACAGATTTTTTTAACAATCTTTTATTATAGAAATATCAGAATGAAAGAAATATGATGTTGCTATGTACATTAATATGATAGCTGGCGCTAGTTGGTTGAGTTTTGTTAGCAATGAATTTTATGATTAGAAACGAATTAAGGACTAGACAGTTTTGTATTTTGTACTTTATACTAAAATCTTTGAACTTTCCAGGATTCTTGTCATACATAGAAATTACGACGTTTTATATTGAAATAATAAGAAAAGTAGAACAAAGTATCTATCAACAGCTGTACATCTGTACATATTTGATTGGTACAACGATCTAAATCCGAGATACGATTGTATAGAGGTCAAGAAAACGTCCTAATATGCGATGACAGTTCATGATTTCCAAAGATATTAATTCGTCATTATTTTCTCAGACTAATTATAACATCTATAAATCAATGTTCAATTATATGGACAAATGAACATAGGAGGCCAAATACTAGTATTTGGATTGGTCAAGAATGTTTGAAAGCGTACTATTCCAGATTTTTGTACATACATTTAATTGTATGGAACTGTTTTTCGTTCTCTTCTCTCACTCTTTTCTTCGCGTCCACGAAAGCAGCAGCCACAGTCAAGACGTTACCATTCTTTTCACGTTTATACAAACAGTCTATTAAATCATATTCTTTGCTATACATCGTCATTTAAGCAAGTGCTTGGTCAGTCTACATAAAATCTATCCAACACGAAAACAAGAAAAGGTTCGTCATATGTTTCGTTATTATTCACTCGTTAATATATAGTACTATATAACGTACGGTGATGTGGCGATGAATCACGAACAGTCAGTTTGTTGTTTTTTCGTAGTATATAAAGCATAGACATAGATTTCATTTATAAAATGCAAAGTTCACTATAATATAATTTCAGTACTCCTTTGCATAACGTAAATTCCATTCTCTTACACGAGGTGTTGTTTTGCCACTTCACCTGCACATAGACGGCATGGAATTTGGAGAAGAATCTACACTTTTATTTTTCTTCTTTCAAGTTTTTCAACGTTACCGTAGTAGCATATATTTATACTGCGTATTTCGATTTTGTATGGCTTCTTGATTTTTCACATTCTTTTTCTAGTTTGCACATACACATATATATTAACTAATTAATTAAAACAACAACCAAAAATGGACAGAATGGTATCGGATAATAGTCTTTCGTCTTCCTTACAGACAACATTAGCTGTTGGTGGTGCACTAGCTCTTGTTGCTGGAGCTGTTATTCATCGTCATAAGGATAAATTATCATCATTTATTGTAGAAGATCTTACTAGTGAAGAAATCTATCAAGATGTTGACTGGCAAAAGCTGACTATTTCAGCTCAGGTTAGTAATAGACAAGATTTAACTATGATTCATAATGACGTCAAAGAGATGAAATCAAACATAGATTAGAGAAACACTTGATTTTATCTCATTCTTAACTAAACTATTTTTTAGGCACAAGGATCTTCAGAAGCACGAGTTGCTGCATCACTTGGTTCTCGACCATTACTTACTAGTGGTAAATCAGACAATCGTGTGTTTACAACATTCTATGAAGGTTTTAAATGTGGCAAAGATATTTCAAATAAACTTGGTAAATTTCTTTCTTCCAGAACTTACATATAATAATATATACATATATGTCTTTTTCTAGGAGATGGAAAATGTTTAGGTTATCGAGTTGATCGTCAATCAGAATATCAATGGGTAACATATGATGAAGTAAGTAATGATATATTATCTTTTCATTCTAATCAATATCTTCCATCTGTAGACAGATCAAACTGCTACTGAAATCGGTAGTGGACTTATTCATTTAGGTGAAAACCATGGACAAGATACATTTATTGGTATCTATGCAACTAATAGTGTTGAAGTAAGAAGATTCAATTTCAATATATATATTATCTTATGTTCACTTTCTTTAGTGGTTAACTACAGCAATAGCATGTCATTTTCATAGTATGATTTATGTACCTCTTTACGATACACTTGGAGAACCAGCTATTGTTCATATTATTAATCAGAGTATGAAATTCTTCTACAAAAATTTACTTATGTCTTACAAATTTATTTTTTTCTATTATATAGCTTCATTAAAAACAGTTTTTGTTGATAAGCCTGAAAATATTTTAACCTTACTTAAACTTATTAAAGAAGTTCCAACATTAAAACGAATTATACTTACAAAAAAATTATCAACTGAACAAGAGAATGAAATTAGAAAAAAAGCTCAAGAAGTTGGAATTGAAATAATGTCATACAATCAATTACGAGTAAAAAATCTAAAATAATGTATTTTATAATTCTATTTTTTGTTGTCTAATTCAGGAACTTGGTCGATCAAAACCAGTAGCACATCATGTAAGATAAGATTAATAGAATTATATATCTATATATATTCAATATTTATTTTAGCCACCTAAAGCTGATGATATCTTTGAAATTTGTTATACAAGTGGTACAACAGGCTTACCAAAAGGTGCAATGTTAACAAATAAAAATATTGTTTCATTGGCTCAATCTGGACGTGAACATTTCGTAAATAATTCTTACAAATAAAATAAAAAAAATGCAAAATATTTTTCTAGGAACCTGTTTTTGGTGGATTGGAAACATTAATTTCATATTTACCATTAGCACATTCCTATGAACAAACTATTGAAGTAAGTTTTTGTTATAATTGTGCTATGCAGATATATATACATATATGTTTTTGTTTAGCTTCTTTTCTTATGTAATGGTTTTAAAATTGGTTATTATTTAGGTGATGTACGTCAATTAGCTGATGATCTTGCTCATTTAAAACCAACAGTTATGCCATGTGTACCTCGACTTCTTAATCGAATGGTAAGACTAAAAAGAAAATGAATTATAAAAGTTTATCTTTTTCTATTTAAGTATGATAATATTCAAGCAACAATTCGTCAATTAAGTCCATTCAAACGTTATTTATTCAATATGGCTTTATCAGCTAAAACAAATGATGTTGCTCAACATCGTGTTAGACGTCATATGCTTTGGGATGGTGTACTTTTAAAACGTATTCAACAACGTCTTGGTGGTCGCGTGAAAGTAATTATTAGTGGTGCTGCACCATTATCACCAGCAATTCTTCAATTTCTTAAAAGTGTTTGCGGTGCTTATGTTGTTGAAGGTTACGGACAAACAGAATGTTGTGGTGTATCATCATGTCAAACACTCGGTGATCCAACTGTTGGTAATATTGGTGTACCATTACATTGTAATATGATTAAATTAGCTGATGTACCTGATATGCAATATTTTGCAAAAGATAATGTTGGAGAATTATGTATTAAAGGTTCAAATGTATTTAAAGGTTATTATCGAGATGATGAAAAAACAAAAGAAGCTCTTGATAATGAAGGATGGTTACATACAGGTGATATTGCTAAATGGACAGTTGTAAGTAATCGGGTTTTTTTGAGAAATATTATCTATGAAATTTCTGTATTTATTATAGACTGGTCAAATTCAAATCATCGATCGAAAGAAACATATGTTTAAATTAGCACAAGTATGTTATTAAGTCAAGCGAGTTATTCGAATAGAGATATAGAAAATAATCTAATATTTCTTCCTTTTTTGAAGAGTTAAGACTTATTTAAGTAAGTTCTTTCATGATTAGGATTATATATCAATTAGAAAGTCAATCAAAATTAGCCATGCAATAACATTTGATTAAATAGTTTAATCCGAGGAGGAAAGAGCGGAATCCGGATTCCAGATTCTGCTCTTTTTCTCTTGGTTTAATCTTATGAGTAGAAATTTAGTATAATCGATGATTTTGAATTCAAGATTTACCGAAGTTTTTTATTTTAGGGTGAATATGTTGCACCTGAACGCATTGAAAATATTTATATTCATAGTAAATATATTGCTCAAGTATTTGTTTATGGCAATGGTTATAAAGTAAAATATTTGATATTTTTCTTTCATATGTATTTATGTATTGTTTAAATAGTGTTATACAGTAGCTATTATTGTTCCTGATGCTGAGATACTTGAAAAATATGCTCGTGATAATAAAATTACAGGTGATATTGTAACATTATGTAACAAAAAAGAAATTAAAGATTTAATATTTAATGATCTTAAACAATTAGAAAAAGCTCATTCATTAAAAGGTTTTGAAACGGTATGTTAATCTTTAAATAATTATTATTTCTGAAGAATCTTATTTTCTTTGTCTAGGTAAAAGATATTTATCTTCATCCAGAACAATTTTCCGTTGAAAATAATCTTTTAACACCAACAATGAAAACAAAACGACCTGAATTAGGCAAATATTTCGAAACAGAAATTGAAGAAATGTATAAAAATATTGAATAAAGTTTTATACAGTTTCTCATTCTCTCAGTCAGATGATCTATTCATCAAAAAAAATGAATATTCGATTTTTTTTTTCTTTTTGTTATTTCGTTCCAATCTTCATACTTGTTTTATTTAACATATATGTGTGTGTGCGTGTGTATGTTCTGAACTATGTTATTATTTACTCTTCCCATGGTTTTAGTTATCTTGTGATATATGCACATTGAATCTCTTGATAACTTTTCCGTGTGCATAATCGACAAATGATCTCAAAGAATGAAGTACTGGGATATAGATTACTCATGTTTTTTGGTTATTTTTTTTCTTGTTTTGTTTTATTCAACGTGTGGGTGTGCGTGTGGTTTTGTTTTTTTTTTATATTTTTTAACATAACATGTGTTCCATCACATGAAAAAACCAAGATAAAATAAAAAAAGTAACTATGATTTTAAAGTAAATAACTAGTTTTAAAATAATTTTGTAATGGAAATAAATGTCTACTATAGTAAACGATATGGTGTTCGTTGAGGAAAAATCATAACAGCCAAACCAGATTTAGACGAATGTGCATTATAGCAAAACATGTAACTGTGAAAACTTAGATAGGCGAAAATAAAAACGACGAATGTAGAAATTAGCGAAAATAAACATCGCGAGAGGCAAGTCAGCGAATTGCTTCTCTTGATAATGTTCTATTGAGAATGTGGGTGTGGGTGTGAAATAATATAACTACCTTCATCTACACCCACCCATACTCACACCCACCCACACCCATCATTTTGACTTAAGAAAAAATCTTGGTATGTTATGTTAGATTATCAAAAGAATCCTACAATGATGCATCTTTGTTTATTACCCTATAGTGATACACAATTTTATTATCGTCCATCAATGAATCCATCTCTTAAATTTCGTTCTTCAATATCTAATAATGAATCTTATATGGATAAAGTAACAAGACTTACAGTTGATTTATCAACATTAATTACAGAGGTAAAAATTAATATTAATTAAGAAAAAAACCCATATAATTAATTTGATTATTTTAGAATAATTTATCATTATCATCAGTTCATTTTTTCTCAAATATTTCTACATTAACTTTAGCTAATAATGAATGTGATTTATCAGTTGAATTTCTAGTAAATTTTTTTGAAACAAGTATTGATCTTACACCAATGGCGGATTTAGGGGGAGCGATCGCTCCCCCTTCCGAATTTTTTTTTGATTTTTTACAGCAAAATGAACGAAAAAATAGGTTCACACTACTTCGGTTGGACTCAGAAAATAGCTTTTAACCAAGATCGGCCCCCCTCCCCAGGTATCGCCTCTCCATACTCAAAAAAAACATCCCCCCTCCCCAGGTACAGCCCCTCCATAATAAAAAGAAAAACGCCCACCCCCTCCTCAGGTATCTCCTCTCCATACTAAAACAAAAAAAATCGCTCTCCCCCTTCCAAAATCCTAAATCCGCCACTGTGGATTTACATGTTTGGTTAAGCGATTCTTTTGGAGATAATTAGTTAATATTGATTTTTATATCCATAGGACCAGGGAGAGCTTTTCGTTTTTTTTTTATTCATTTATAATCTTGCTTTTATATTTCCTATTTAAATAAAACATATTATTTAGTCATTATAAAATAACGTTAATATATGAAAAAAATAAATGAATGTTTATTATCGATCGTAGACATTCACATTGATAATACTCTATATTACTTTGTTATATCCATGCGCATATTAGTTTTATTAACATTATTTTTTATGTTTATGGTTGTATTAGGGATAACGCCCAATCATATAAACTTTGATTTTTTCTTACCTTATCACGTGTTATTATCAATTTGTATATCTCTACCTATGCAATTATTCTTAAGAAATACATAAAAAAGATAAAATTATTGGTATAGATAGGTGTAGATATATTCTTTTACCTCGTCGACGTCATTGTATGACTGGTAACTATATGAAAAATACAATACGTACATATAAGCTAAAATAATCTAATATCACATCAATCAAATTTATCGCCAGTCCATTGCAATCAACTATCTTTTCAAAAGATGGCTTCGGAGCAAGATCCTAAACAACCATTGATAAATCCTTTTGTTCATAAAGAATCATTATATACTGAACCAATACCACCAACAACAGTGTTAGATATGATTCCTCATCCACTATCAAATAAAAGGAAACTTCGACGTACAGTATCAATAAAACCTTCCGAAAGACACGCTTATGTGACTAATTTGAGTGAACGATTATCTGCACGAAAATATTTACATCGTCGT